AACAAAAATTTTATGTGAATAAAAAATTTTAATTGTTATTTACATAAATTATTAAATTTTTATTTAAAAATTACATTTAAAATTTTTAAAAATCAAATTAAATTTACTAAATAAATAAACGGGCGAAAGTAATTTCAACTCAATTATTAAAACGTGTTCCCCGAATTTGAAGACAATGACAAAAGTGTGTTATGCGGTGATTGACTCATTGACCGGGTGGATTAAAGTAGTCATTATTATTTTTTTAATTGGTTTTCTGCACCGAAGGTTTTTTTTTGTTAGATGATTAATTATTTAATAATATAAAAATTTAAACTTTTAATTTTAATTTTTAATTAAAAATTTTAAATTAATTAATGCACTTACTTTTTTTGTTTACAGGAGCAATGGTTAGAAATTAAAAGTTAAGTTAATACCTTACTCTTGGTAAGATTCAACCACTAATTAAGGATGCAATCCACCGACAGCTCTATTGGACTGCAGTAACCACCAATAGATCACAACAGGAGAATGCAATTAATGCACTTACTTGAGCTATCACTTCTTGTTCTGCTCCGAATTTCAAGATGATGACCAAAGCGTGTTAAGTGGTGTTTACAAACTAGACTTTTGCCTATGTTTGTAACTACCGCTTAACACGCTTTGCCTATGTTTGTGTCCACGTGGCTTGCTTAACAGGATAATTGGAGTGTGACATGTCCCTTAAGGCGGTAAATTCAAGACCGGCGGCAAATTCAGGACTGGGGAATTGTGTGATTAATCAGGTGTAGGCATGCCCACTGCATTTACCATGCAGCCTCTTGACCGGAAGTGCTAGATTTAACTTCACTTCGGCTATTAAGGAATTGTTACATACGTCCGAGGTTAAGGATCTCGGACCTATCCTTACACTATTCCCCCCTCGAAGTCATTCACTTGTGAATGATGTTGTTATAGGTAATGAGAGTAGTGCATGAACAGATAGAAAGTGGAATGAAAATATTAAAGATGAGTTACAGAAGTAAAAGTGAAAATAAAAATTTGTAACTCAAATTCATGTATGGCCGTATCTAATAATGAAATATGTGACATGGGGTCATGTTGGCCATTCCCAAAATAAAATGTGACTAGAACGATGGTGGCCGTAGCCGTAGTAAAAACAATGACCAGAGTCAGTGTGGCCGGAGCCATAGTAAGAAGTGACGACCGGAGTTATAGTGGCCGGAGCCGTAGTAAAAAGTAATGACCGGAGTCAGTGTGGCCGAAACCGTAGTAAAAAGTAATGACCGGAGTCATAGTGGTTAGAGCCGAAGTAAAAAATAATGACCGGAGTCATAGTGACCGGAGCCAAAGTAAAAAGTAATGACCAGAGTCATAGTGGCCGGAGCCGAAGTAAAATATGTGACAAGGAGTCACTATGGCCTGAGCAGAAGTGAAACACTTGTAAGTTAAAAATATAATTGTGAAAGTGAACAGAAGTGTTGAGGTGGGCTTAAGTGGGCCTGTTTAAAAAGTCTGACGTAGGATTATTATGTGACATGACAGTTGTCTGTTGAAAGACGTGTACAATAAATAGGCTGAAAAAAGTAACTGTGATAGTCAGACAAACAGAGTGGGAAATGAACCGTCGAATTCGAACGATTCTCGTTAGGGTTATACAGTTGAATTCGAAACGGCGTGAATTAGGACCGTCAGATTAAATTAATCCCAGCCGTTGGGAGTTATTTTTGCCCTGAGGTATAAATAGCTAAATTTCTGTAAAAAGAAGTTTACTTTCATTATATTTTCTACAAAATCATTGTGAAAACTATACTGTGTTCTTCTTGCGCCTGAACTGTTGCATCGTTCATGGACTTCTACATTAAGTTTTCAAAACCGAGATCAGGTAACGTATGAGTTTTTGTGATCTGGGTTTTAGAGTGTGTTTTTTTCTACTCTCATCCTTTCTGATTTAGATCTAAGTCTTTTTGAAGGAAGGGAGGTTTAGGAGTGAGAGTGACAGCGAGTGAAAGTTAAAATTCTGATTTCATTTTCTTCTTCCCCCCTCTGTATTCTATGCAGTGAAAGTGACAAACTTGGAAGAGATGTCTTCTGAAGAAACTATGAGTGTTGGGGGAAGTGAGGAGGTGAGGGCATTAGAATATGGGGACGTGAGTATGACCAGTGAGTTGTCTGACTCGGAGAGGACGGAGGAGGGGGTGGGAAGAGGTGAGGTAGTTGGGGTAGAGGGAGATAGTGTACCCATCACTGTGGTAGAAGTGGAGGGTAGGAGGGAATAATGTTATGATGTAGATGCAGATATCGTAGGTGAGGTGAAACAGTATGAGTCTGAACTCGGGACCAGGGATAGCTTGGGTTATTTGGTGGAGAGTTATGAGATTTCTTCTCGAGTTTTGATTAGGCCTGCTGGGGTAGAGGAGAGGGTCTGTTTTGCTCCTCGGGATCATTGGATGCCCGTGTATGCCCACTATTTGGCAGTCAGGCTTATGTCTCCAATTCCTGAGTTGTTAGTGGGTCTTCTGTTAGATTATAGTATAGGGTTGACACAATTAGTCCCCAACGCTATGAGGGTAATAATAGGATTTTTAGTTTATTGCCGAGCTCAGGAGGTTAATGTGCCAACTGTAAATATGTTTAAGTATTTTTTTGTTTTAAAGGGGGGTAGTAGGAAGGATAAGGGGTGGTATTATTTCACCCCTAGGGTGGCAAATAGAGAGAGTAGGAGTTTATTTACTGCGGGTCCTTCATCCATTAAAGGATGGAAGGAAAAATTTTTCTTTGTAAATGATACTGAGTGGGAGAGGGGGGATGCCGAAGTAGAGTTGTTGTCATCTTGGAAGGCTAAGAGAGCTAACCAAAATAAGTTTAGTTTAAACGAGGATGAGGAGGAAGAGGTGGGGAAGTTGGTGAGGGAGGGGGGTAAGTTAGCGAATATAATGTACTTCACCAACGCAAAATGCATAGAGGCTGCTGAGCTCTATGGGCCAAGCGCTTTAAGTGAAGGTGTGTTTAGATTTTATATTGTAGTGTTTAATGTGGAGCATAGAGCTGTGTGGTTGATACTGTGTTTTCCTTGTTTTGCAGCTGAAATGGATAAGTTCTTAAACGTTGCTGGAGGAGTGGCCATTCCCAAGAAGCAAAGGAAGAAGTCAAATACTTCAACCAAGGAAGTGGGGGAGGGTGGAGCTGGGAAGGAGGTAGTGCCCAGCACTTCAGCTGGAGTGGAGGAGGTGGTGCCAAGGCTGGAGCTGAAGAGGAAAGGTAGTGAGGAGGTGGGAGCATTGCAAAGAAAAAAGAGGGTGGTGGAGGAAGAAGTGAGGGGGAGCGAGGTTCTACAGTTCGTACCTCGGCCTCCTCCTATTGAGCTCGATCCTGAGCTTAGGGAGTCTGAAGCAGAGGGGGCTGAGGTACGAGCTCCTGGTAAGGGCAAGGGCCTCGTTCCCCCTTTGTCTTTCCAGAGTAGTCTGTTCAAGGCGAAGAACATGACGGGGTTAAGGAGGTTTATTAATGCCACCTTCCCCGAAGTGAACAAGCGTCACGCACGGGACAAAGCTCTGAGGTATTTGTGGGGCATCGGTGGTAAAGCACATTTTGGAGGTATGTTAAGTTAATTTTTATTTATTTATTTATTTATTTATTATTATTATTATTATTTTAACTTCTGCTTAAATTGCAGAGTGCGAGCTGGGTGAATGGTCTAGCCCAGGAATTTATGGAGAGAGTAAAGGAGCGCTCCCTCTTGCAAAGGCAGTGTGACCAGCTGCAAAAGAAGAAGGAAGAGCTGTAAAAGAAGAATAAAGAAATGCAAGAGGTGCTGGACGAGGTGGTACCAGTAGTGAAGCAGCTCGAGCAAGAGATGGCTTCCTTGAGCACCAAGCTCGTCTTTGAGGAGAGCAAATGAAGAATCTTTGAAAGTGAGCGTGAGGTATAGGAGAAGGAAGTAAAGATGATGAAGGAGGCTGTGATGGAGCTGAAGAAGAATGTGCAGCTGTTGGTGCACAACGGGATGGAGGAACACATCAGCAACTTCGTCAGCTCCAGCTCGTTTGACGACATCGTCAACTTCTACCGACTGCCAACTGCTATTCTCGTCTTCACGGACTGCAGAAAAAAGGTGAAAGCTGAATATCCTGAAGTGGATATTACGAAGATCACCTTTGGCGAGCAAGAGAACGGAGTGGAGGAGAAGGTGAGAGTATGTCAGTAGACTTCCGTCCTCAGATTAAACTGAGGTGGGAGCGTGATGCAGACGGACGCACTGTTTTTCCTCCCAACTTCAACTTCGAGTTCGTGGCAGTGGAGGAAGAAAAGGCAGAGGTAGAGGATACTGAAGTGGGGGCAGGAGTGGAAGGAGCTGAAGTGGATGAGAGTCAACCACCTCTGCAAGTGGAGATTCATCCAGTTCCTTCTGACGATGAGCAGCCACCTCTTTCAGCCGAGCAGCAGCCAACACAGCCACCTCCTCCAGCAGAGGAATAAAGAATTTTTGGTTTTTGATTTTTCTTTGATATTTTTGTTGTAATAACATTAGAACAATTTGTTATAATACTTTTGTTATTTGATTTGAATGACAATTTTGTTTTTTGAGATCATGTGTGATGTCTGCTTTACGTTTTGGTTGTTTTATATTAATATAAGAACTGAGATTACTTCGGATATGTCTTGAGGGAAAGTAAATCATTTCAGAGATGAAATAAAAAGGAGTAAATCATTTCAAAGATGAACTAAAGAGAAGTAAAGCATTTCGGAGATGAACTAAAAAGAAATAAAGCAATTCAGAGATGAACTAAAAAGAAGTAAAGCACTTGGGAGATGAACTAAAAAGAAGTAAAACACTTCAGAGATGAACTAAAAAGAAGTAAAACACTTCAGAGATGAACTAAAAAGAAGTAAAGCACTTCATATGCGAAGTGACATTTATTAATAAAAGTGAAGTTCAAGGAATGAGTTTTAAATAGATTGACCTCGAATATACAGAATAAGAGGTAAAATGAATCTCAACAATCAAGAAGTAATAAGTATAAAGGACAGTAAGACATAGATCACTTGAAAGAAGTTTATTAGGGGTAATTTCTTCAAGTTATTGATATTTCAGACTCTAGGAACTCTCTTCTCTTCAGCATCTTGGAGGACATAGGCTCCAGGATGTGGCACCTCGGCCACTGTATAAGGACCTTCCCAGTTTGGGGCTAGTTTGCCAAAACGAGTTTCAAACCCTGTTAGGCCAGCCTTTCTGAGAACAAGGTCTCCTATTTTGAATGTTTGAGGGCGGACTTGTTTGTTGTACAAGTTGGCTAATTTCTGCTTGTATACAAGAGTTCGAAGCCGTGCTTCTTCTCTGACTTCGGCAAGCAGATCAAGGTTTTTCCAAAGTAGTTGTCCATTTCGTCCTTCATCAAAATGGGTGACCCGGAGGCTTGGGACTCCTATTTCAATAGGAATTACTGCTTTGGTACCAAAGGTCAGGTGGTAGGGTGTTTCACCTATTTCATGAAATTATAGTCTTTAGAATATGCTTTACATATTATGCATATTTGATTTAGGGTAGAGTCGCAGATGAGAAAATAAAAGTTGAATGGAAGTAGCTTGGGTTGGAAATAGTACATGTGGCAGTTCTGCTTGTAGTTCTATATGCCCAAAGGACGTTATTGAGCTCGTCTGCCCACCTGGCCTTGTGCTGTTCCAACCTCGGCTTTATTCCTTCTAAGATGGCTTTATTAACAGATTCTACCATACCATTAGACTCCAGATGGTAAACCGATGTGAACTGTAATTTGATCCCATAGCTGGAACAAAAATCTCGGAAAGAGGAGCAGTGAAACTGAGTACCATTGTCAGCCACAATCTGGTTCAGGATCCCATATCTGCAGATAATTGAGCCAAAAACAAAGTCTTCGACCTTTCTGGAAGTAAGACTGGATAATGGCCGAGCTTCAACCCATTTTGTAAAATAATTAACTCCAACAATCAAATGAGTTACACCTCCAACCCCTTTCATGAATGGGCCCAAAAGATCAAGTCCCCATTGAGCAAATGGCCACGATGCTACCAAGTTCGTGAGCTCTTCTGCTGGTTGGTGGGTCAAATGTGCGAAGAATTGGCACTTCGGGCATCTCTGAACAAAGTGGGTGGCATCTTTATACATATTTGGCCAGTAATATCCCTGTCTTAGGACTTTGTGAGCAAGGGTTCTAGCACCAATGTGGCTCCCACGGACACCTTCATGTACCTCCCAAAGTGCGTACTTTACTTCATAGGGATTCAAGCACCGTAAAAGAGGGAGTGAGAAAGATCTCTTATAGAGGACCCCATCGACGAGTGTATATCGAGACACTTTCTTCCTCAACCTCATCGCCTCTTGCTTGTCTTCAAGCACTGTTCCGTCTCGTAAAAAGGAGATAATTGAGTCAGTCCAGCTCGGTGTGTCCAGGTCTATACTGATCTCCATCATTCGTGGCTTCATGAAGCTTGGTTCATCTAAGACTTCCACAAAAACTGATCTGGAGCTTAGAGAGCTACTAGAGGTGAACTTAAAAAGTGAATCTACCTATTCATTCTCAGTTCGGGGAATTTTGTTCAGACAGAATTTCTGAAATTTGCACTTCAGCTCGGCCACCAGGGCTACATATTTCATCAGCACATGATCAATGACTTCGTAGATTGAGTTAACTTAATTAACCACAAGCTGTGAGTCACTATATACTCGTATCGCCATGACTTTCAACTCTAATGCTAGTTGCAAACCAAGTAGCAGAGCTTCATACTCAACCATGTTGTTTGTTGCATTGAAGTTAAATTTCAGAGCATGTTCACTTCGATATCCATCTGGGCCAATTAAGAGAGCACCAACTCCCGAACCCTTGCTACTAGATGCTCCATCAACATATAAGGTCCAGTCGTTAGGCTCAAGATTAGGGGTTGAGTGACATGGAGTGCATTCTATGATGAAATCTGCTAGTGCTTGAACTCGGATTGTAGATCTCTGCTGAAATGTTATCTCGAATTACCCTAGTTCTACTGCCCACTTAATTAACTTTCCGGAGCACTCCGCTTCTGCAGAATCTGTTGAAGAGGTTGGTCTATGAGGACGATGATTGGATGTGACTAAAAATATGGCATCAGCTTTCTGACCAAAGTGACAATTGCTAATGCTGCTTTCTCAGCAATGGGATACCTCAATTTTGCGCCGTGCAGCACGCTGCTGATATAAGATATTGGGTTCTATTATTTGGCTTCTTCTCTCACCAGAACTGAACTAATTGCTTCGTCTGAAATTTCAAGGTACAAATAGAGAATCTCTCCATCTATAGCCTTAGTCAGTAGGGGTGGTGAGCTAAGATAAGACTTCAACTCCTCGACTGCGGCTTGGCATTCTTGATTCCATTCAAACTTCTTATGTTTGCCTAATTCGTCCTTCTGGGCAGCTGACCTCATGATCTTGAAAAATGGCAGGCACTTATCTGCTGACTTCGATATGAACCTATGAAGAGCTACCACCCTTCTAGTTAACCTCTATATATCTTTCACTGATTTCGGCGGTTCCATCTCGGCAATTACTCTAATCTTTTCTGGGTTGACTTCAATCCCTCTTTGGGAAACCATGAAGCCTAAAAATTTCCCAGACTCCACACCGAAGATGCATTTGGCTGGGTTTAACCACATTCTGTTCTTTCTGAGGTTGTTGAAAGTTTCATCGAGATCAGCTAGATGGTCTTCTGCTTTCAGGCTCTTTACCACAATGTCATTGATATAAACTTCCAGATTCCTGTCGATCTGAGCTCGGAAGACGATGGTCACCATTTTCTGATAAGTAGCACATGCGTTCTTTAAGCCAAATGGCATCATTACGTAGCAATAGATTTCGTCACCAGCATAGAACGAGGTTTTCTCTTCATCCGCTGGAGCCATCGGCACCTGGTGATACCCAAAATATGCATCCAAGAGACTTAATCTCTCATTTTCAGAAGCCGCTTCAACCAGTTTGTTAATGCTTGGCATCGGATAGCAGTCCTTGGGGCAAGCTTGGTTGAGATTTGTGTAGTCAATGCACATTCGCCATTTACCATTCGCCTTTTTGACCAGCACTGGGTTAGCCACCCATTCGCAATAATCAACTCTTTTGACAAAACCAACTTGTAGGAGCTTCTCTACCTCTTCCTTTATAACCTGAAGCCTCTTCCCCCCGAAGAGACGTCGCTTCTGGGCTACTGGTTTCTTCAATGGATTGGTGCTGAGCTTATGTTGGGATACTGAGGTTGGAATTCCTAGCATGTCTGCTGAAGTCCAAGCGAAGACATCGTTGTTAGCTCGGAGAAAAGCTATTAGCTCTGCTCTTTCCTTCGGGCTCAATCGAGTTCCAATTTGCGTTTTTCTGCTTAGATCTCTATCGTCAATGTGTACTTCCTCGATATCCTCCACTAGAGTAGCTCTGGTTTCATCTTCTAGTCGGTTATCTACTATCTCAACACCCATTACTTGCTGATTGTCAGGAATTCATTGGGGAATGGTTTCCTGCGTCTGATCTTTGCCTTTCTGAGGTCTCGTGACTAAGGTGATATAGCAATATCTGGCCACCTCCTAGTTGCCCCATAGTGTTGCTATCCCCATGGGAGTTGGAAACTTCATGTAAAGGTGAGATTGGGAAACCACAGCTCGAATTTCGGTCAATGTGGGTAGGCCAATAACAACATTGAAAGAGGACGCCATTTTGACAACTAGAAACCGAATTAAAGGGGTAACATAAGTTTGACCACTCCCAAAAGCAACATTGAGGTTAAGAACTCCTTCTACTTGAACTGGTTGGTTGTTGAATCCATAGATGGGACTATCGTATCGCTGCAATAAATCTAGATCCAGCCCAAGACTCTCAAAACAGTGAAAATACATAATATCTGGTGCACTTCCTGTGTCAACAAGGACACGTTGTACCTCACAGTTGTTAATCATGACAGAAGTAACCAGAGGATTATTGTGAGGTGTGACAACTGTGTCAAAATCAGTAGATGTGAAAGTGATGGGTTGATTCTTCCAGTTAGCATCGTCAAACTTCTGTTTCTTAGCTCGGTTTTGATGTTTGACCACTCTGACGTACAACTTTCGCTGTTTAGAGCTCAAACCTCTTACTTCCAGGCCTCCCGTAATCATATGTATAATTCTGGCTGGTGATGGAAGTGGAGGTGGGGCTTGTTGATATCCCACGCCTTGCCTGTTTCTTGCGTTACGAGATCCCTGTGGCTGTGCTCCCTGTTCTCTAATAAACTTCGGTTGCTTGGTTCGCTAGATGTATTCATTCAGCATGCCCTTTTGAGCGAGACTTTCCAGTTTAGACCTCAGACTATTGCACTGCTCCGTTGTATGACCATAATCTTAATGAAAATCACAATACCTGGTATGATCACGTGTAGCAGCGGAGCTTCTCATTGGTCCTAGTTGCCTCAAATCCATCTTATTTTTTATCTGCATGAATATCTACGACCTCGGCAGATTAAAAGGAGTCCATGTAACTGGTGCTTTACTGATATTTTGCTGGGGAGGTATGGAGTTCGGCTTTCCAAACTTCGGTGGGGAGGTCATCATCGGACCTCAATTTTGTACTGTCTTCATCCGTTTTCTGCTCTAACCCTCATCTCTCCAATCTGGGTTTTAGTTTCTAGGGGGAACTGGTTTCTGGGATAAAGCATATTCCTCAACAGTGATGAATTTCAACGACCTGTCATTAACCTCGTTGAAAGTAGCAACATGATGCTTGATTAAGCTATCTCTAAATCTTTCATGTTGGAGACCTTGAATTACAGCCGCAATTCCTACGGCTTGGTTGAAGGAGCTGACTTCGAGGACTGCATCATTGAACCTGCTCATGTAATTCTTCAAGGATTCTTCGTCCCTCTGCTTGACTCGCATCAGTTTAGAAGTGGTTTTCCTAATCAACCTTCTACTAGAAAACTTTGTGGCAAAAGCAGATGCCATTTCTGAATAGGAGCTAATATATCTTGGGGGCAAACTATAGTACCAAGTTTGGGCATTACCACGGAGAGTGGAGGGAAAGGTCTTACACATTAATGCATCAGAGGCGTTCTGAGCTTGCATATAGGAATAGAAGGCATGGAGGTGATCATCGGGGTCCTTTGTCCCGTCATATGTCTCGAGCTGAGGAATTTTGAAGCCAGCAGGATAAGGTTCCAATGTGATGTTGGTGTTCAAAGGATGAGGTATGGAGTCAGCAGTATGGTGTGGAGGTAGGGCACCTCGTTGTTCAGCTACCAGTTTTTTTAAGCTATCCAGACGTCGAGTGACATCATCAGGTAGAGGTTGTTGAGCTGGTGCTATGTGAGACTGACCCTGAGACTCATTAAGAGCAGGAGCATGCTGAACTGGTTGAGGGTCTTACTGTGGAGTTGAGGGTTGTGGAGCAAGGTTGAGTAAGTTGATGAGGGGATCGCCAGGATTATTCCAAGCTAGGAGCTGAGCCAATACTAATTGAAAGACACCAAACTGTTGTTGCATGGCTGTAAGCTGAGCTGTAACTACGTCTTGATTGGCGATGGAAGCTGAGTTGTGAGCTGAGTTGTAAGGTTGGTTTTCATCTCCTCCTTCTACATGATCAATAGGAGGAAACATATTTGGGATCTGAGGTCGGAGGTGAGGTGGAAGGTTGTTGGGGAGTTGACCTTGTCCAAGAGGCTGAGATGGATTTCCAGCTCGGACTGATCAAGTGTTAACCATGATGAGAGAGCTTTAAGTTCGTTTCCCACAGACGGCGCCAATGTAATTGCACCAAACCAGAGATCCTTCTTCAGTCTGCGTCTTCACTTCGGATGAACCTGCAAAGCCCCGAGGTGGGTTCTTGGGATAGACACTCTGATACTTAAGTCAGCAATAATCGAGTCTATCTCTGGACTAATGAAAAAGAGTTTTAGGTTAGTTTCAATTACCTTTTTGAGGTGGTCCCTGGGGGGTATTTATAGGCCTTCGTGAGGTATCCACGTGGCTTACTTAGTAGGATAATTGGAGTGTGACATGTCCTTTAAGGCGGTAAATTCGGGACTAGCGGCAAATTCGGGACTGGGGAATTGTGTGATTAATCAGGTGTCGGCATGCCCACTGCATTTACCATGCAGCCTCTTGACCGAAAGTGTTGAATTTAACTTCACTTCAACTGTTAAGAAATTATTACAGTACGTCCAAGATTAAGGACCTCGGACCTATCCTTACACGTGTAAAAGTTATATAAAATATATAGAAAAAAGTTGTCCTTATATATAGCCGCCCTTTCACCGTGTCACCAGCCCATTTCTGGAAACTCGCCTCCCTCAGCACACGTCCGTATGCCAACGTCACCCGATAAATAGCCCCAATTGCGTCTTTTGGCTCTTCACTAAATTGCTCTATACTAAATTGCTCTATTTATACACTTCTTCACTGCCTCTTTGAACTCGCCTGAGAACTCCAAATCATCCTCTTCAATTCAAGCAGAGTTGATCATCCCTCTTTCTCTTTCTCAGGTACTCACTTTCTCTTCACTCCTCTTGGGTAGGCTTTGCTTTTGTTAATGAAGTTTGCTTCTGGTTCTTGAATTCCTCTTGTTTTACTTGGTTTATGCTTGTAGATCTGTTTTTGATTTTGGGATTTTCATTTTGTATGCTAGGGTTATGGTTATGTTCTTTTTAATCTTTCTTGTAGTTCATATGAATTAAATCCTAAATTTTGTTTAATTTGTGGGGTTTAGTCGGTGAGGGTTTTGTGATTTAAGATTGCAGATCTGAGTTATGGTGAATTAGTTTCTATATCACCTTAAATTTTATCAAGAATGATTAATAAGCTTAGTCCAGGCTCTGCTAAACACCAGCTAGTACCAAATACTACATGACAATTGAATGGTTCTTGGACCCGTTGCTCCCAATGGTTCAATTTATTTTTCTTTAGCTATTTGAGCAAATTGACAAGCGTCTAGAAAAACTTTAAGTTGCCTTAGCTCTTTCTTTTTTAATTTTTTTATGTTTCGTTACTTGTTCTTTATGCAATAAAGAATGTGTTTTTTTTGGAAGTCCAGCACGCCCTAATACCAAATAGGTTAAATGTGATTTTTTTTTTTTTTTTTGAAAATAGGTAATGGACCTTAGCTTGTTCTTTATGCAATAAAGAATGTGTTATTTTAGAAGTCTAGGCAAAACGCATGTTAAGGCAACATACAAATTAATAAAAAAAAAATGAAAAGTAAAACGTGTGTGGACACAAGTTAACACCAAAACAATCTCCCGAACCGGTTGGACCTACCTTGTTCAATTTACTTTTCTTTATCCATTTGGACAAATTAACATGCATCTAGAAACCATATCATAAGAAAAAACTATGTGCCTTAGCTTGTTCCTTTTTGTTTTTTTCTTGGTCCTTCTGATATTACCTTAGCTTGTTCTTTATGGAATAAAAAATGTGTTATTTTTGAAGTACAGGCTAGACATACGCTAGTACCAAATATTACATGACAATTCTGTATTCATCAATCAACGCCTTACAATTACAAGAGAATATCCTTTTATACAGCTAACTAATCCCTACTTAATTAACAGACTAACCACTAACTAATTACAAATGGAGAGCCTAAACCCATCCACATCAGCGGCTCCACGTTAGCAAGCCTATTTTGGACTGGGAAAGGAGAAGTTGTTGTACCCAACTTCTATACCATTTTGTTGAATTTTTTTTTATTTATTTAAAATATATGATATTAAATATATTTATTATTTTAATAATTTATGCAAGATATATAAAAAAATTGTACTTATACAGCCACCCTTTCACTGTACCACCGGCCGACTTCCTGGAATCTCGCCTTCCACCCCATGGTCTCACATCACATCCCAACCTCACCAGGTCAATCTAGCCCCAATTGCTTCTTTTGGCTCTTCACTAAATTGCTCTATTTATACACTTCTTCACTGCCTCTTTGAACTAGCCTGAGAACTCCAAATCATCCTCTTCAATTCAAGCAGAGTTTATCATCCCTCTTTCTCTTTCTCAGGTACTCACTTTCTCTTCACTCCTCGTGTGGGCTTTGCTTCTGGTTCTCGAATTCCTCTTGTTTTACTTGGTTTATGCTTGTAGATCTGTTTTTGATTTTGGGTTTTTCATTTTGTATGCTAGGGTTATGGTTATGTTCTTTTAATCTTTCTTGTAGTTCATATGAATTAAATTTTAACCAACGAAGGTTGGATCAAGTGGTAAGCGACTTGTTCCAGTTTAAGTAAGGTCTTAAGTTCGAGACTACGCAGCAGTCCCTGCTGGGAGACTCACCCACTATTTTCAGGTGCCCGATGTGGGTCGGGTCCGGATTACTCGAGGCGAAACCCCGGATATTGGGCGGAAAACCAAAAAAAAAAAAAAAGAATTAAATTTTAAATTTTGTTTAATTTGTGGGGTTTAGTCGGTGAGGGTTTTGTGATTTAAGGTTGCAGATCTGAGTTCTGGTGCATTAGTTTTATATCACCTTAAATTTAGTCAGGAATGATTAATAAGCTTAGTACAGGCTCAACTAAACACCAGCTAGTACCAAATACTACATGACAATTGGATGGTTCTTGGACCCGTTGCTCCCAATGGTTCAATTTATTTTTCTTTTTCTATTTGAGCAAATTAACAAGTATCTAGAAAAACTGCCTTAGCTTGTTCTTTTTTAATTTTTTTATGTTGCGTTACATGTTCTTTGTTTTTTTTTTTTTTTTTTTCTTTCCATTGGACAAATTAACAAGCATCTAGGAAAAACCTTAAAACTCATTAGAAAAGGCTATTTGCCTTAGCGTTGTTCATTTTTTTTCCTTTAGATGTTGCCTTAGCTTCTTCTCTATGCAATAAAGAAGTGTTATTTTTAGAAGTCCACGCTAAACACATGCTAGTACCAAATACCACGTGGCAATTGGACGGTCCCTGAGACCTGGCTTCTCCCAAACCAGGCTGGACGTTAACTGGTTCAATTTATTTTTCTTTTTCCATTTGGACAAATGAGTAGAAGTTTTCAGTGATCGTTCTTTCCTCTTTTTTTTTTCTTTTTAATGAGCAGTAATGGAAGATGGAACAGAAGAAGCTCTTCTTGATAAAATAAATCGAAAACTCCAAGATCCTGCTTTAATAAACAGTTCAAGCCGTAGGATTTTCATGGTGCCTAATCCTTTGCGCGAGATAAATGAAAAGGCCTATGACCCTCTAGTGATCTCCATTGGCCCTTACCACTATGGTAAAAAGCACCTGAAGGCAATGGAGGTGCAGAAAATGAAAAGTCTAAAATCGATTCTTGATCGCGGAAGAGAAAATAGTGTGGACAAATATGTGATGGCCTTGAAAGAAATGGAAGAAGAAATTCGCAGATTTTATTCAGAAAATCTGGATCATATTGATAGACAAGACCTGGTAGAAATGATGCTTCTTGATGGATTCTTTATCATTGACTTTATTTCCTCTACAAATGAGCTTACAGATTTTCATCGGAGAAATGTAATGCGCGATCTGCTGCTAGTTGAAAATCAACTTCCTTTCTCTGTACTCTCCACGTTACATTCCCTGTCTATGGATCAGAGGGGTCTGAACAGAGATGTAAAGGACATCTTTGTCGAAGCTGTAATTATTTGCTTCAATGGAATGGTGCCAGCACTTCCAATTATAGAACGTCCCCGGAATCAAGGAATAATGAAGCCACCACCTCCAAGTGAAGTACGTGCCAGGGATCTGGACGCCAAGGATATGCTCGGCTTTCTCCATGATAATGTAATTCGTACATCTCGAAGGCGAGTTCGTTCAGCAACGGCAAGTTCTCCATGGTGGCGGCGCTGTTTAGCGTGGGCAAGTAGGCTGCCATTTGCACACCGGCTGCCCTGTTTAGCACCGGTACGGACGCCGCCGCGCGACAGGCCAGTTAAATGTTCAGCATCAGCAGAGGAACCGGAATGGGCACCGGCAGGAATATATGAACTGCGAAAATGGCGTTTCATTTGTTCTGCAACTGAGCTCAATGAGGCCGGGATCAAGTTCCAGAAAAAAGAGGGGAAATTGTTTGATATAGAGTTTCAAAATGGGGTGATGTCAATTCCAACCCTAATAATCGATGATTATACAGAATCCATCTTTCGAAATATCGTTGCTTATGAACAGTACGACGTGGGTGTTATCTCACAACCCTTCACGGATTATATTACATTCATGGATTGCCTCATCAACACAGGAAAGGACGTTGGATTACTTTGTCGCTGTGGAGTTCTTGATAATTGGTTGGGTGATCATGAAGTCGTTGCCACCATGTTTAACAGACTCCGCGACTCTGTTTTGATCTCAGCAGTGCGCTTCCACTACTCCGAGATATTCATCGGAGTGAACAAACATTGCGACAGAGAGTGGAACCAGTGGAAGGCAAACTTAAGGCACAATTACTTTAACACTCCGTGGGCATCAATTTCCGTCATTGCTGCAGTTATCTTGCTTCTACTTACTGTGCTGCAAAGTGTATATTCAGTTCTCGCTTACCATCATCCGCGGTAAGTATGGGAAAGCTCCTCTCTAGATAATAGAGGCAGGAATATGGAGGGGTATCAAGAGTGAAAGTCGTGTTCCATTTAAACCACATGTTATATTTGCTGTTATAGGGTTTGGCAACAAGTGAACTTAGAAGTTCACACAATTATTTACCCGTTTGACTATTTCTACAAGGTAATATCATGTTATGTGGGTATGTACGGAGTTATCTTTTATTGGTATTCTATTATTGTATAAAAAAATAAAAAAATTATGTTACATATTCTGAATAAATACATGAATGGCTTGTATATTTTCCTTTGGGCCTTTTGACTACAAAATAGGCCTCTATTTTCTTTTGGTTTGGGCCTATTTCTTCCAATTTTCTGATCAGAGCAGCGAGCATAAGCCCCAGAGCAGAGAGGGCTTTCTCCCGGTGTCATCAGCTCGAGCTTCTGCAGTACGATAATGGCTGGAAGAGAATCAGAATACGACGGTGCTTTGGACTCAGACCTAGCCTCCGATCAGTCTCTCAAACTCCAAGATCAGTCAACGCACCTTAAGTTTAGCTCAAGGATTAGAAATTAGAACATGCTCATATTCTGCCGATTTATTTGTCGAAGTGAACGAACATTGCAAAATAAAGTGGAACCAGTGGAAGGCAAACTTAAGGCACAATTACTTTAACACTCCGTGGGCATCAATTTCCGTCGTTGCTGCGGTTATCTTGCTTCTACTTACTGTGCTGCAAAGTGTATATTCAGTTCTCTCTTACTATCATCAGCATTTAGTATGGGAAATCTCCTCTCTAGACAATAGCGGCAGGAATATGGTGGGGCAAGGTTTTTAAAACCGGACCGGACCGGCCGGTTGAACCGGTCGGACCGGTACCCGGTGATAAAAACGGTTCGGTTCACATAAAAAACCGTTTGAGGTCAAAACCGGTCAAAACCGGTTAAAACCGGTCAAAAACCGATAAAAACAGGTAAAAACCGGTAAAAACCGATAAAACCGGTAAAACCG